AGAAAAGAAAATCTTTAGATTTAAGTAAGTAGTTCTATTGGGAATGATGATAATTTATTACTATCCTGTAACTCCTGATACATAGCATTCCTTAGCAGGCTTATGATGAGGCAATGATATCAAGTATAACGTTAAACTTTACATAATCAAAGAAACAAAAAAAGCTGCTACTGAAAGAGGCTAATAGTTATATTTCAAAATGCATCTGTACACTATCTTATAATTTCAATTAAATGGTGCCTTCAATATTGTAATAGTAGACAAATCATACTTTCCCTCTAGCCCTGTTTCCATCTTCCAACACCATTAGACACTAGAAAAAATTTTAAAAACCCAACTATTTAAAATGACTTCATTGAAAAAACGATTGCTTTTTCTAATGACAAAAAGTTTAGATGTCAACTGAAATATCATCTGCTATACGTAACTTATCAGCTTACTCTTTTTGATATTGGCAAATGTGAGCCAAGGGGGGCTGTGCTTTGGACAGGAAAGGACACCACTGCTGCTGTACTGTCTGATCAAATACACCCAGCCCATGTGTTCACAGCACACCACAGCATCCCTCTTTAAAGACACTGACCTATAGCAGATCTTAATCAGTGATTGCTTTCACTAGAGCAAAAACTTCTAGAAGATTCCTGCTGACCGGTGTCCTCTTCCCATTTTTACAAAAATTGCATATTAAGGCTGGATGAATCTTGAAAAAATTTTAACTCTGAATTGTTACTTCCTTCTTCAAAAATCCAAAGCTTCCCATTAAAAACATCATGTTTACATTAATGGCTAATTCTTACCCAGAGCACACTTGATTCTTTCATTTTGCTTTACCTGAGATAAAGCCCATCAGGATGCAATGTGCAATGAGGACACATTTTCCTTGGGAACTAAGATTTAAGTGCCATTTTAATTCTTCTTGCATATTCTCACTATAATATACATTAACTCACAGCACCACCTATCTGTCAATGAAATAGTAGAAAACAAGGTTTACTTCCCACATAATGGCCACATGGCTGGTCTATACAATTTATTGTGAAATTAAGTCCAAAGCTTAAAAAAGAAGATAATCTAAAAATAGAAGTTCCATTTGACATTTTATAAAATACCTTTGTAATGGTACATATAAATGTCTTGGTCATGTTTTAAGTAAAAGTCTGATCAGCAGGATTCATATGATTTTAATCTAGCACAAAACAATGAATAAAAAATATTAACTAGAAGTTGCAATTAGGGAGAAGCAGACTTATAAATCCCAATAATCACGGGTATTTTCAGGCCTAAGTGTTAGCTGGAATGTGTGTGGCTTTTCCTTAGAAATATCTTAGTCATTTCCTGTTTAAATAGGAAACAAGGAAGACAGTTATAGCATTTCATTTTTCTATCTTTTCTGTGTTTTGTTTTTGTTTTTGCAGTGCCAGGGATTGAATCCAGGGCCTCAAGGGTACTAAGCTAATGCTCTACCCCTGGGCTACATTCCCAGCCCTATCCTTGCTGTGTGATACCTATATTAGAACTAAATCAGTATAACGTGGAAGGGACTTGCTGCTGCATGCACAGTCCAAATCAAGTACACATATTCCTTTCTCAAACCAGCATTATTCTTTGATGTTACACTGTAATCAAATTCTTTTTACTGGTTACATGAACAGACCAGCTGTGTTATCCACAAAAATTAAAATGTCTTCACCTGATACCACATGTGTGTGCAGTTCACAATAGTTCTACAAGACAGGTTGAGGTGGGCATCACCACCCATCTCAACTACAGGGAAATGGTACACTCTGTTTATGTCCATGGAAAACAGAACTCCAAGTCAAAGATTATTTATGGCTGTTTCATGCTCTAATGCTCAAAACAACCAGGAAAAAAAAAATAATCCCTCTAAATAATTTCCGCAAAACTGACTCTGGAGCTGGGTGCAGTGGCACATGCCTGTAATTCCATTGACTCAGGAGGCTGAGACAAGATGATTGCAAGGTCAAGGCCAGCCTCAGCAACTTGGCAAAACCTTGTCTCAATAAACAATCAGAAACACAAAAAGAGCTGGGGATGTGGCTCAGTGGTAAAGCACCCATAGCTCATATCCCCAGTACCAACAAAACGCCACACCAAACCAACAAAAAAACTGACCTTGAAAATAAGGTAATTTATAAAAGTTATTTTGAAAATTGCATTTGGTTACAAATTTCAGAAAGTTAATATGACAAAAGTTTCAAAGACTATTTTTAAGAATGGCTATTAAAATTGAGTAAATTAAGGATTTTCTTAGCAATTGATACACTGAGGCACTAATTATTTTAGAAGACTCTTCTGTTAGGTCTTCATAGTTCATCATGTCATACCTAATGTAACTTGTACCATACAGTCTTTCTTCTGGTGATTTATGCCAGCAGATACTAGTGGGAGCCTTTCTGTGACTGGTGAATTAAATTACCATTCATTACCATCCAATTTAAATACAGTTATCTCACCAGCATAGCAGAGTTGCTAAACCAGAGAAGCTCTTCTAACATTGATAATGCATCTGTTCTTCTTGAGTATTCTCTTCTACTCTTTCCAAAGTTTTACATTCCTTATCAGCTACTTTTCTAATATTATACTATTTCAATTCCCCATTTCCTCCTGTAGAGTTCCTTTTAAAATGTTCCTGAGAACTTACTAGTCTACTTCAAGGTTTTACTTCTATGTCCTAATATTCAAAGTAAAATAGAAATTTTTATACTTTCTCACATTTTATTGCACAATACAAACTTGATTAAAATGTACTAAGAAACAACATTTATGTTTAAGTCAATATTAACTTAAAGTGTATGGTAGGAGACAACAATTCATTTAAATATATTTCAACTCAGCATGAAGGCAAGCATTTACTTATGAAAGTTTAAATGAAGAAAGGTCTTTCACTGAATCAACCAACTTTTTTAGTTTCTTTCTCCATTTTTGTGCCTTTTGTCTTCTTAAAAGTTCACAGTGTTACAGAAGTGAAAAATAAGACTGATAGAAACATATATGGCTAAAACACTTATGGCTTTATATACATCAAAAATTTAATAATGTTGCCACAACCCCTGATACAGTGTGATCCTTATTTATTTACTACTATGCAGAATAAACTTCTGTACATATTAAATTGTTCAAGTATATCTACATCAGTGTTTGTAAAAAAGAGGTCCCACTGCTAACTCAGCAGAAATCTCTTTGAAGATTACTTCTAACTCCAACATAACTAAGGCAGAATGTTATTTTCGAATGTACAACATATTGTACATTCTAAAATATCCCAAAATGTTCAAATGAGCCAAACGTAAACTATGATTTTTTTAACCTAGTTTAATACCCCTTCTGTACAGCACCAGAGGTTAAAAATGGATCTGGCTAAGTAATGTTCTTTTTCCTTTATTAGGAACATTTTATCTCTACTTATTTCTACAACAATAAACCCAAATTGAAAATAAAGACAACTTGGATCAAATGCTTTCCCCTTAAATAAATAACATTTACTTTCTTTCATACTTAAATATTTAATTATTTTCTTGGTAACAGCTATTCAATTAGCCTCTTGATTTAGAGGGTTAGGCAAGCCGGATAGGATTCTCTAGGTTTGCTTTAAAACTTTCTAGAAACTTGGTAGCCAGTTCGTCATCGACCACTCGACTGTCACTTGACATTGTGACTGTTATGAGTTGGTGCTGCTGCAGTTTGGCATTCCCCTCTTCATCTTCAGTGAGCTTGAGGACAGGTCGGAATCTCCCAACAGCCAAAATGCAGGCCTGTGGAGGGTTGATCACTGCAGTGAATTCATCGATGCCGAACATCCCCAGGTTGGAAATACTAGAGAGGGAAAAGGCAATAGAAGGTGGTACGTATGCAGCCAAAATGTTTTCCTTGAAGCATCTTTTTTTATTTTACTAAAAAACAGTACCTGTGCTACTGAACCTTCTATCGAGTTATTCAAAGACTAAAGGATATGTATCAGCACGCATGTGAACATTATATCTATTATCAAACATTTAGCATTGAACTGGAGGTCCTAGGCAGTGAAATATGGCAAGAAAAAGAAAAGGTATAAATAATAGGAAAAAAAAGGAATCGCTATAACTTGATTATGTACATGGAAAATTGAAGGTTCTAAAGATAAAGTATTAATAAGTGAATTTAAGTCACTAGATAAAAACATCATAATTATATATGTTACAATGATTAGATAATGAAATTGAAAAAAATTGCCATATATAATGGTATTAAATATCAAATAACAAGAAATAAATTTAATGAAATAACATGAGATCTCTACAAAGAAAATTATAAAACATAACTGAAAGGACTCAGAAAACTCAACAAGACTCAATACTTGGAAGATGATAATTTTCCTCCAGTCAGTTAAGAGTTAATGGAATCAAAATACAACCAGGGTGGGGAGTATGTACACGTGTGCTGTATGTATATATAAAATATATCAAATTGATTTTAAAATTTATTTGGAATATGAAAAGCTAGAAAAGACAATCTTTAGAGTAAAAAAAATTGAAAAATTTTCCTGAACATATATCAAAGTTATTATAGTTTAGTTATAACAGAACAAGAGACAGAAAACACAATAATTAAGCATACCAATACATACATGGTCATGTCCTCAATGCTATGGAGGAGAAATTAAATTTCAATATATGTTGGGTTCAATTAATATCCGTATGAGGGAGGTAAAGAAAACCCTGACTTCTACTTCATTATCATGTAAAAATCCAATTTCAGATGACTATGATCTACATGTGAAAAGTAAAAATAGAG